TTGAGAGGGAGAGAGAGCATGAGAGTGGGGAGGGTCAGAGGGAGAAGCAGACTCCCCGCTGAGCAGGGAGTCCGACGCGGGACTCGATCCCGGGACTCCAGGATCATGACCTGAGCCAAAGGCAGTCGCTTAACCAACTGAGCCACCCAGGTGTCCTGACCAGTGGTGTTGTTTTGAGGTACATACTTCTGTGGGGCCTGAGGCTTGGAAGCCCGAGTAGCGAGTAGCGCTTGCAGCCTGCTGATGTGAGTCTTTTCCTGCACCTGAGTTGGGACACACAGGAGTAGCTCCGGGTCCGGGACAGTTATGTGGACTGCTCCTCCCCAGGATGCTGCCTTGCTGGCAGGTTGGGTTTTCAGCCTTAGGTACTTTGGGCATCTCAAATATGTAGTCAGAATAAAAATATAAAAATAATACTAGAAGGCTTTTAATGAAAAAATGAGCACTCTGTACTGCTCCTCTTGATTCTCCCAGTCCCTCTCCCCAGAGGGACTGTTTATGTAGATATTTATTCTTGTATTTACTTCCATGTTTCTAAATAAAATATTTAGGTTGCTCTTTCCTGGCGACCAGTTACTTACATCTGTTGACTTGCACTGTGGAAGATGAAGGTTTTTTCTTTTTCTGCCACCTATACTTGCCGTGTTCCCGTCTCCTCGCTTGTGTCACATTAGATGTCTAAGTGAAGTCAGTAGCCAGTGTCACATTAGATGGCAGTTGCATGACCAAGTAGGTACTCTGATTAATTTTTTTTCCCCTACACATTTTCCTTTGTTGTTCCTGGAGTCAATTGCTTTTGACCTTTTAAAAATCTATTTTGTTTTATCTCTATATTTCTGAACTTTCCCCCCACATTCTCTAACAGGTCTGTTAAAAAATATTTCCCAAATGTTCAAAAATATCAGACCAATTATTAATTTCTTTTTTTTCTCAGGGAGATAGACTTTCCAAACTTCTGTATCCTTTTGCTCTAATCTGACTTGGCGGCTTCTTCTCTGAGGTGTCTTTTCACCTTATTCTGGGACTTTCCTTGGGTTCTGTCCATTGCTTTATTGAATTTCTTGGATTTTGCTGGAGCATATCCAAAAATAGCTTACTACGAAAGGGTCCATGGGAAATAAAGACTTCGCATATCTGAAGATTTTTTTTCAACTTTCATACTTGATTTTTGTTTGGTTGGTTGAACATAGAAATCCCCACTGAAAAATTTGTTTTAATATAGAAGGTATGACTCTGTTATCTAGTAGAATTTAATGTTACTTTAAAAAGCATTGTTATGATAGGGCATTTTGTTACTGATATTCCTAGTTTTAGTTTGCTAGCAATCATACAAATGCTACCATTTGGCAATGCTTAGATTAAGCTCTGTTGTTGGGAGATAATTCTCCGTTTTTCTCTTCCATTTTCGTATATCTTGAGAACAGAGGCCTTTGTTGTGGACTATCCTTGCAAGGATGTATGTACAGCAAACAGCCTTGGAAGATCGATATAGTGTCTCCCTCCATAGTAACGGGCAGACATGCTGCTGCCTATGTAAGGTATTTGGGTTCCCTAAGCTCAGGTTTATTCTGTGTGCACCAGCGTTCCCGGTTCTCTTCACATCGCTTTGTAAGAATTTTAGCTGCAGAAAAGTGTGTAACAGGATGATACTTTGGCTCTTGCTGTAATAAACTGTCCTTTGTCTCTGACCTGGGGGGGGGTCTCGTTTTTTTCCGCTAGCATCCATGAAGCGATGCAGGCTAAGTTAGGAGCTTTTAAGTGGGATAAAATCATAGACTCTTCATAGTTCTTTTTTTTTTTTTTAAGATTTTATTTGTTTATTTGTCAGAGAGAGAGAGAGAGAGACCATGCGAGCACATGAGCAGGGGGAGTGGCAGGCTGAGGGAGAAGCAGATTCCCTTCTGAGCAGGGAGCCCCATGTGGGACTCGATCTCAGGACCCTGGGATCATGACCTGAGCCGAAGGCAGACACTTAACTGATTGAGCCACCCAGGCTCTTCATAGTTCTTGACATCTGCTTTTCCTCTGAAAATTCCCTCAACCAGTAACCCGTAGTGTTTTCTTCCTTGTGCCATTTATTTGATTGTATACATCATTTAGCTGTTTATATTTTTTAATGTGTATTCTCATTTCAAAGACATTTTACAACGAAGGTACTTTGTATGTAGCAAAACGCAACAAATATCAGGTTTTATGAATGTTTCTAAAATGTAGATTTTGTATTTAATTGAGTAGGTAATATGTTTAATATTAAGTTGTCTTGTAAGGCAAAAAGTATGAATGGATGAATTTGTACTCTTAAAATATAATTGTGTAACATTGCCTTAAATCGTTTATTTGCGGTATGTTTTATATGTCATGTATTATTTATTTCTCTTTTAAGTACTAGCTAACATTTACTGGGCAATTATTATGTGTTAGGCACCATGTTATGCTTGTTATACAGATTATCTTATCCCTCTCAGTAGTCCTAGGAAGGTGTCTTTATTGTTTGTATTTTACAGAAGAAGGGATAGAAATATAGAAGAGGTATGTAACTTGCCTAAGGATATAAAATTGGCAAATGGTAGAGTCGGTACTCACACCCAACTGTTTAATTCTTGAACCCGAACTCTGCTATAAAATGCTATAAAATGGAGAGAAGGGAAAAGATAAAAAGTATATTTTCTCACCTGGAAGTTTTTAACATTGTGTAGTTTAAATTAATATTTTAGGCCTTCAGTATTGATTTGACATAAATAAAAGCCAAGTTTCATTTTCTGTGTCTATAATGGAATTCAGTATATAACTTGTGCTAAAAGTAACTATGTTCAGTCACAGCTTTTTAGAAGTACAAAACAACAAAATAAAGCAGCACAGGAGTTGATATTTACCCATCCAGAAGTTGGGAAATTTTAAATTGTGGTTCCCATAGCAATTGCAGCTCAGCCTCAGGGCAGTGAATGTTGTGATCTCAACTGAACACCATATGCAGCAGCATGAAATAATATTCTACATGCTCTTGGGGGCCTGATAATGGCCACTCTGGGAACAATGAATGTGTAAATTAGCAGTTACTGTTTTATCACTGTAGTTTGGGGCATTTCATTTATGTGGCTGTTTCATAGTATAACTTAGGTGTTTCACTGGTTATACATCATGGTAACATTTCAGTGGGGCTTAAATTATTAATGAATCCTGAAATGAAATGTTTTTAACTTGAAAGATTATTTTTGTCTTTTCCATCTGATTTATAAACAATCACTTTGCTCTCCTCCTACCCCCACTGCCAGTGGAAAAGCCTAATTTCAGGAGTTCTTGTTTACATTTAAAGTGTGGTCCTTAGGCAGGTTCAAGATGCTAGTTAACCTTTGAAATGTATTGTGTGCTCATGCTTAAAAGAGATAGATGACTAAGAAGTGCATATTAGAGCCTCTTAAATCATAGGATCATCAATCTTCGAGTACCTTTACTTCATGCAGTACACTGCCATGGAGGACACGTCTATCTACAACTCATAGAAAAACTTTGTGCCTTCATCTTATTTTGGTGGATTCACAGAGGAATTGTCAATTAGGTATTAATCAGCTGCTCTGTGTTGCCTTAGTATTGCTTGAAGAATTTAAAATATTGCTTAACACTGTGCTGAACCTACGACCTTTGCTTACCATTTTGTTGATTGATGTCTTTGTTGATGGCATATAGATTTCTACTATGAGTCTCTCAAATACATGATTAAAAAATATAAAATTTTTCTTTAATGGTAGACTCCTATATAGGTGGTTTAATAAATTCACATAGAAAATCACTGTTACCAAATTTATATAGTGGAAAGGATAGACCTAACAAATTATGTTTATATAAGTTATACATATAAACTTCCAAGAAACAGATTAAATAAATTTTATTTATGTGTATTTGGAAACTTATTACCCCAACGATTTCTAGGGATGATTTTGTTTTTATTAGCAAAATATACAGAGTATCTACTGGGTGCCAGACACTGTGGATCCAAGGTGAAGCACACTGAGCCACTTAGCCACTATGATTGGAGATTCCAAGTCTTTTCCAAATATTCTAATTTGGTTAAAAAGACCTTTGATATCAGTCAGTCATGTTTATCATTATTTGAATGATCCTGGAAAGCCAACTTAACTGTGAACTCCTTAATGAGAAGATGATGGCCAAGATTATAAAATGAGGCATATTCATTTATTTTTAGGTAGCCGTCACATTTATTCCACATGCACCTTTTGTAGTACCAGCATACTCACCCAGTTTCTACAACGTGTTGGAACATAATGTCTTACAATATTACCTTCATAAAAGGAGGGATACGAAAGTGGGGGTTGAGTATTTTGCTGTTTGTGCCTCTCCCTATGCTTGGTCCTTCATAATAGGAGTAAACAGAAGTGGTTCTTTATGGCTAAGATCTTAATGCCTTCATAGATACCTCTGGATGACCAGTCAGCTGGCTTAGGGTAACTTTATGTGAAATTTCAGAGGATGAAAGATTTGAGTCTAGGATGGTACTTACTGCATGCTCATTTTGACAAGCTGGTTTAGTAGGAACTGAGGAACATTGAAGATTTTGGTAGTTGTTAAGGTTTTTAATGGTCTCAACTATTTGGATTAGTAAAAATTTTAAACAAGTATCACCTGTACCCTGCACATTTATTTATTAACGTAGCATTGTAGTAATGCATAATTATTCCTGAAAACATAAACCAAAGAGTGAAATAAGAATTATAAGAACATTCACATAAGTAGAAGTTCTTTCCTTACTGCAGTGGTGTCTTGTCCATCTCCTGGGATATGCTAACTCAGGAGACTGTGGCTTTAAAATACAGCTTGGCATATACACATACCCATCTTATCATTAAAGCTGATCCTCCCTAGAAGAAGGACCTAGTTAACATGATCAGAATGCCTATTAAACTCCAGTTTTATCCAATTTCCTTTCACATTCTGGAAGTAAACCTAACACAGAATATTCTTCTTTTTGTGCTGTGTGTCTCTAGGATGAGGATGGGACAGAAGAAGACAACAGTCGCGTTGAACCTGTTGGACATGCTGACACTAGTTTGGAGAACATACCCAGCTTTTCTCTGGAGTAAGTTACTGATGGTTTTGACTAAATTTGCAATATACGTGTAGCATTACTGATAGCAGCAAGTATTCCAAAAGCATATGGCATGCGGAATGTTTGTGCTTAGTTAAAAACATGCCTTGCATTGGTTTGTTTTCCAAAGAGCATCTTTCATCTATTGACTTGTAACACTTAATGTAAGAAGTATAGCATGGAAATTTACATGTACCTGTCCTGGTTTCATGCCTTGGCAAATACTATTAAATGATAATATAAAATAGTATTTGATTGAAAATGTTTGTTGTGTTAACAGCACTATAACTGTTTTCAAATTGCTTTCTATGTCAGTGTTTTGGTCATTTGTTTGTTCTTCAACTTTGCTAAATTAAAAAAAAGTATAGATAGACTTTATTCGAAAAACCAGTTGGATCATGTAAGCATTAGTCATTTTAGTATATATTTTTTCGATTTTTTTGAAATGGAATCTCTCAAGATAATTGTTGAAAAATTAGAGTCATAGGTTATGGCCCTTAAACATGACTTTACTTATAAAAGGACAAAGAAAACTTTACTATATTATCACAACTTTATAATTATCTTAAGTATTGGCATGTTTAAGTGGAAGGTGTTCTCAGAATTTCTTCCCTTGGTAATTTAGACCAGGGAGGGCAATCATTCTGAAGTTTTGTCTGACTTTGGGTAAAAGTTGAAGAGGCCTAGATATTAGCATGTATAAACTCTTAATTTTGTCTTTTCTTGGTCTTCCAAGGGAAGGCTCTCAGAACTTTCTCAGTGAGATTAAACAGGGTCTAGAATCAGGTTATGTTTAGATAGACAGCAACCAGCACTATTACAGTTAAGAAGTACTTGCCATGTCCTAGTTCTTTTTAGATAGAATGTGGAATAAAATAAATTTATTAAAGTTACCGTACTGTTTTCAGTTGACAAACTAATCATTAAATAGATGTTTAAATGATATGTAACAGTATCTAAAATAGAAGTTGTGAAATTCTATGACAATATAAAAAATTAATTCATTTAAATAGTATTACTTCAGTAAATATTTTGGCAGTTTGGCAAAATTTTAATTTTTTCCTGGTTAGCATATGTGATTACATCTATGCCCATATTCTTAATTTTGTTTTGATTTGTTTGATATCACTGTCTTTAATTTTCTTTTAGTCTTTGTATTACATAATGAGGACATTAATAGTATCTAGGATAACTTTAAGTTTTTATTTTAGAAATACAATTGAAGAATTGGCATTTCCATTATATAAAAACTAAACTGCAATCTTTGTCAAATCCATTGGTAATCTTTATAGTTGTCCAGGTTGCTTCTACTAGGTATTTAATTGAAACACTATTTTTAAAAATTGATTGTCACATAAGACCTGCTTAAATTTCTGTGTACTACACACATGCACACACACACACACACGGAAAACTCTGTAAAGAAAATGAATCGCACTTAAAAGATTTAGAAAATTTACATTCTCCAAATTACACCAGTTTTCATTAAGCTCAGGCTTATTAATAGTAAAGTACTTTTGTTATGTAATAGAAGTAACTTCATGTTACTTACATCTCTCTCCATGACTTTAAGGTTCAGTTACAAACACTTATAGAAATTATTTGATGTTTAGCAGGTATCTATTGGCTTTGAGGGATGAGTTTCATTCCCGGCATTGTGGTACACTTACAGAAGTTTAGGACTTTGAATTGTTGTGGAAAAATGTGGGAAATAAAGATAGCTGGATCACATCTGGCCTGGAACCTATGGAGGCAAAACAAAAGCTTTGACCTCATTGGATTATTGTAAGGATTGATAATGTGACTTACGTAGGAGCACTTTGTAAATTTTAAAGTGCTGTGCAGCCAAAACACCTTTATTCATTTAATCTTCATTATCCTTGAAATAAATACCGGGATGGAAAATTTTCAGTGGAAGTGTAAGGTTTGGCTTACAAAATGTGTACTTGCATTACACATAAAAGAGTGTGGTCCGAGAGAAGGGGTTCTGTGTCATTTTAATGTAGTTATTTCTGATGAATGCTGTCTCTCTGAGCCATCAGACTAGTGTTCAGGTATGTAGTGTTTACTGCCGCTCTCATCACCACGCTTGTATTCCAGAATGTGTATGTGTATGCGTGTGTGCTTGGTGAGATTTTCGTTTTGTTCTCTTTTGTTGTTTATGGTGTGTCTGTGTTGTAGCAGTTTTGTGTTGTTGTTGTTTTGTTTTGTTTCGGTTTTGGTTTGTTTACAGTACATGTTCATGCTCCCTCATTCATCATTGTCTCACAGTGATATGGTAAAGCTCGTACGAGTCCCCAACGATGGAGGGCCTCTGGGAATCCATGTAGTGCCTTTCAGTGCTCGAGGCGGCAGGTAATGTATCCTGGAGGTTTTTAATTGAATCATAATGTTGAGTGTTTTTATCTTCATTTATGCCCAGATATAGAGTGGTGTTGATTTAGCATATGCTTAATAGGGACATTTTCATTTGGGGCCAGCTGCTCCTTCATTCATACGTATGCATCATAATCACAGAAAGCACTTAGCTGATGAAGAAATCAAGCATTTAAATTATTCTGATAATGTTATTGGTCATCACACATCCCTGCAAGCATTTTACTTTGCTGTATATTGATGAAACACTTTAGGGTCAGCACTCCAGCTGAATTTGGAGAATTAAGGGAGAACTTAAAGCAGTTTTCTGGAAAACTTATGCAATAAAAATGATCCGGATAACTTAGGTAATGATTCATTTTAGATTCATTTTTAGGTTTATTTAGTTCTTAAATTTTTTGTAAGATTTTTATGATTATGTTTGAAAGTTTTAAAAGTTAAATAAGCTATTGATTTATTTCCTACCATGTGGTCTGTGGCTCCTTCTCTTCAATCTCTACACACTCAAATGTCAAACTTTTATACTGTTAATGACTTTGTTACTTTAAAGAATGTGTATCTTTAAAAACTTCAAATGTTGTATGACTTTCTTTTATTCTGCTGCTTCTTTCTATTAAAAAACTACTGGGTTTATTAAAAGTTTTTGTTTTAATATCTTTAACTACTGTGACTTGATTTTGCGACTCGTGGTTGATGGGCCTTTGTCAACAACCCGTGAAATGCTCGCATCCTTGTCCTGGGGAAGTGAGCTGTTAAGTGGCTGCAGTTTACTTGTATCCTCTCTGAAAGCCCCATCCAATAATTATCCGGTGAAATATACTTAGGAACTATTTGGCTTCTTATTTTGAACTTCTTTCTTTTTTTGTTGTCATCATCATTATTATTATTTTTAACTTCCTTTACACTGGGAGAAGAAAGGGGAAAGTTGGAAGGTGGCCTTAGACCAGTGACTGAAAACGTGAGACATGGTTTACACCGTTGCCAGCTAATTACAAGCATCTAGTATGTTGTAAAACAAACAGATGGGCTGTCAGTGATAAGTGTGTGGTTAAATTATTTAATTTTGTTAATTGAGTATTTGAACAATTGTACTACCTTCCTGGTGAATGCTCCTAATGGTGGTGACTCTAGGTTTCGCCTCTTTGGTAAATCACATACCTTATGGAATGTCTGGAAGTTGAAACTTTGGTTTACCTAGATCTCTGCTGGAGTAAGAGGCTTGATAGTTAGTGTTATATAACAAGCTGTGAAATTCCCCTTGAATTTTGAGATGGTGTTGTATTCACAGGGATGTGACTGCTTTCCCTTTTTTCCTCCCTCTCGTCTTTGTTTATTTTTAAACTCTGGAAAGCATTGAAATTTCTTCGAGGTACTTTCATTTAAACACGCTTAGTTCTTTTTCAAAAATGGCCTTTGCCTTTATTTCCTTTAAAGAACATAATTTTAAATGATCTCAAAAGTTAAATCTTTTTTCATTTATTTCATGAGTAGGAAAAAAATGATACAGTAAAGTGCAGGGATTATAGCTTCCAAATATTAGTGTACCTTTATCTCCCTGTGGGATATAACTTTTTACAAATGAGATTTAACTGTGTATGCACCAGCTCTGAACCAGTATTTCATCTTTTTGTTATATTGAAGTATAATTGATGTACAATATTATATTAGTTTCAGATGTTCAACATAGTGATTTGACATTTGTATGTATTATGAAATGATCCCCATGGTAAGTCCAGTTACCATCCATCACCTGAGTTAATAATATTATTATCTGTATTCCCCGTGCTGCACATTATACCCCATGACTTACTTATTTTATAACTGGAAGTTTGTTCCTCTTGATCCTCTTCACCCATTTTACCCACCCCCAACTCCTTCTCCTGTGGCAACTACCAGTCTGTTTTCTATGAGTCTGGTTTTGCTTTGTTTTGTTTTGTTCATCTGTTTTGTGTTTTAGATTCCACATATAAGTGAAATTATGTGGTATTTGTCTTTTCCTGTTTGACTCATTAGCTTAATAACTTCAAGGTCTATCCATGTTGGTCACAAATGGTAAGATTTCATTCATTTTTATGGCTGAGTGGTATTCTATTGTAGATCCAGTCACCTATGGATGGACACTTAGGTTGCTTCCATATCTTGGCTATTGTAAATGATGCTGTAATGAACATAGGGGTCATATATCTTTTCCAGTTAGTGTTTTTGTTTTCTTTGGATAAATACCCAGAGGTGGAATTGCTGGATTGTATGGTAGTTCTATTTTTAATTTCTTGAGAAACCTCTGTACTGTTCTCCATAGTGGTGGTACTAATTTACATTCCTACCAACAGTGAATGAAGGTTTCCTTTTCTCCACATCCTCAACAGTGCTTGTTATTTTAGTGTGTATGTGTGTGTGTGTGGGGGGGGGATTGGTAATAGTTATTCTGACAGGTGTAGGTGATCTTATTGTGGTTTTGGTTTGCATTTTGCTGATGATTAGTGATGTCAAGCATCTTTTCATATGCCTGTTGGCCCATCTGTATGTTTTCTTTGGAAAAACGTCTACTCAGGTCTTCTGCCCATTTTTAAATTGAGTTTGTTTTGTTTTGTGTTTTGTTTTGTTTTGTTTTTGCTTTTAGGTGGTGTGAGTTCTTTATAGATTTTGGATATTATTAGCTGCTTTTATAATGGATGATTCTCAAATATTATCCCCTACTTAGTACATTGCCTTTTCATTTTGTTAATAGTTTCCTTAACTTACAAAAACTTGTTCATTGGATATACTCCCATTTGTTTATTTTTTTAAAAAGATTTACTTATTTATTTTAGAGAGAGAGAGGGAGAGAATCCTCAGACTCCCTGCTGAGGCAGGAGCCCGATGCGGGGCTCTGTGTCCCAGGACCCTGAGATCATGACCTGAGCTGAAATTAAGAGTTAAATGCTCAACTGACTGTGTCACCCAGGCACCCCTCCCATTTGTTTATTTTTGCTTTTGTTACTCTTGCCTGTAGAGTCAGATCCAAAATAAAATACATCACTAAGACCGATATCAAGGAGCTTACCACCTGTGTTTTCTTCTTGGATCTTTATGGCTTCAGGTCTTACATTCAAATCTTTAATACATCTTTAGTTAAATTTTGCATATGCTTTAAGACAGTGATCTAGTTTCCTTTTTTTTTATTCTTTTGCATGTAGCTGTCCAGTTGTCCCAACACCATTTGTTGACAAGACTGTCTTTTCCCCCTACCTGACTGTGCCACCCAGGCACCCCTATCTTTAACTTTTGATATTTATTTACAACATGTCTTGGTGTTGATCTTTCTGGGTCATTTCATTTGGGACTTTCTGTGCTTCCTGGACCTGGATGTCTTTTTCCTTCTCCAGGTTAAGGAAATTTTCAGCCATTATTTCTTCAAATAAGTTTTCTGCCCCCTTCTTTTTTCTCCTTCTGGGACTTGTATAATGTGAATGAAGTATGTTTGATATTTTCCCACAGATCCTTAAATCTATCCCCATTGAATTTATTTGTTCATCTTTTCTGTTCTGTTTGGGTGATTTCCACTACCCTGACTTTCAGGTCACTGATCCATTTTTCTGTATCATCTAGCCTCCTTTTGATTCCATCTAGTGTATTTTTCACAACAGTTATTGTATTGTTTTGCTCTGTGACTTGCGTTTGGTACTTTCTTATATTTTTCTATCTCCTTGTTGAAGTTCTTGGTGTGGCCATCCATTTTCTTCTGACTTTAGTTAGCATCTTTATGACATTACTTTGAAGTTTTTCTCAGATAAATTATCTCTGTTTCATTAAGGATTTTTTTCTGGGATTTTATTTTGTTCTTTCCTTTGGAACACGTTCCTCTGTTTCCTTATTTTACTTGACTCTGTTTGGTTTTGTGTATTTTGTAAAACAGCTCTATCTCCCTGTCTTGGGGAGTGGCTCTGTGTAGGAGATGAATCTTAACGTTTAACCTGATCCTTGTTCTTGGTTGTCTCTTGAGTTGTCTCTCCAATTGTTTCAGTTCTGTGGGGTCCAGAAGCCCAACCCTCCCCACCACACCTGAGCCTGGTGCTCACAGGACATCCCCTAAGTGCACTACGCATATCTGTTCAATGAAGGCAGGGTCGCATGAGCAGCGAAGGGCAGAAGGCATGGGTCTGCTCACCTGCTGCACCTGGAGGTGCTTGCAGTGGGGAGAAGGGCTTGCTTTCCTGTAGCTGTTAGTTGGCTAGAGTGCAGTGCAAAACATGGCGCCCGCAGTACTATCACTAGCAGTGTGGAAGTAACCCGTCAAAATGGCATCTGCCACCATTCCATCCCTGGAGAGAATACCAGCAGACTTCTACCCTCTGGTAGATGCCTGAAGTTTGGCAAGTGAAATTCCTTCACCTGTGGTCTAGACTTTTTTCAGACTGCTGCTTTTTGAGCTGGGTCCTGCATGTGAGTCCCTTAAGAGGGAAATCTTTGTTCTCGATAGCCCTGTGGTTCTCCTTAATGTAATTCCCGTTGGCTTTTGAAGCCAGACATTTTGGGGGTTCCTCACTCTGGTTCAGGCCCGCAGTGTTGTGATATCTAGCATGGAGTACAAACCCCTTGCTCCTCAGGGAGAAACTGTGTATATTGATTTATGTATGTATATATTTATTCATATTTGTGTTGTATTTTAAGCTTTTTCCCAATTGTGGGTCGCTGTGCTGGGGGGTTTTGGCAAGAGCACATGTCTGTGTGGTCTTTTCGTCCTTTCTTAAGGAGTAGCTATTCGGCTGGTTCTCAAGTTCTTTTCTGACGGATGGTTCCGTATGGAGCTGTTTGTTGTGTCTGTGGGAGGACATGAGTTCAGGATCTTCCTACACTGCCTTCTTGAACCACTTTCTGCCTTCCCATTTAAATGGGACTTAACCAGTATTTCAATCACAAGCATGTCATTTTCTGTCATTTATTACACATTTCCTCCCTCAATGTGAAAGGATATTAGGATAAAACAAATAGATGAAAAG